CTCTTCTCAATATCACGCTTTCGCTATTTGAATGAACTTTATTTTAAGGGAACTACACTCTAAAAGAAACCAGTAGTGGAGTTGTTAATAATAATAAGGGAACGAAGTGGAAGATATCCCAGAGAAATGAAGTCATTAGGGCCATGAAACTATACCTTATCAACTTACTTTCATAGTACAAACTAGCCTCTCGAGAGCATAGATGCCCAATGAGCTCGCGTTTATCACCGTAAATGGCAGTTCCTATTTTGATGCCATCCAATCCTCCCTTACTTAGACGCAGTTTGATAGGAGCTCTCTTGGGAGAAATCTCGTCTAAAAAGAATGAATTGAATCAGTAAGTCTCACTCGTAATATACATCGTCAGACAAGATGCAAACTGCGTGCGCGAATGGTCGAGGAGCTCAGAGAGTTCATTATACTCATTTAGCAGAAAAATTCAAGAAGGATAGGTCACATTTCAGGGCCGAAAAGGAAAAAATTACGGTAAACGATCGAGACAAATCATTCGTAGAGCGCTCGGCGACTTAGTCATTCTCGCTCAGCTCGTCCATGTCAGAAGAAACAAGCCGTTGTTAGGAACATGCTCCGCTTTGCCGTGAAGGTCTGTACTCGAGAAAATGAGCAAAGAGTCGTTGGAAATGGCACGCGAAATTGCCCCACTGAATGACTGCTGGATTTTACCGAGCACTCGCAAAGCTTGGGAGACGGGCAGTAGAAACGGTTCTGTGTAATTGATCCGCCGCACGTGGCTGTCGCGGACCATTTGCCTTGTTATAACAGTTCTAACGCTCTTCATACAGCTCATTCGCTATGCGATTACTACTTTCGGCGTGATTTTACTGTTAGTTCTTTTGTTCCTGTATTTCCTACTTGCTGCTGCATCCTGCTACGTTCCTTCGCGCGCGACGTATCTCTCGCCGCGATGCGACACTTTCGTTCCAGCTGCACCACACCCGCAGAGCTTCTTAGTGGTGTGGAAAGTTACTAGTCACGGCATGGTAGTACCTTGATGGAAGGAACGCGTCATATGTACGGTTATTTATCTCTGATGGGTTCAGCGCCACCACTAGAATGAGTCTGAAGTGGACAGGTTTGCTAAGCTCATTTGCTAGTACCAATCGGATCGCCCGCCTAACGCCAGGCTCTCCTCCTTCTTGCGTCAAACACCCTATTCCGAGAAATGTTGAAGTCAAGAATTTTTTCCCCTCTTTCAAAGCTTGTGCTTTTTGAGTTTTATT